GAATAGCGGAATTTCCCGGATATTATTTACTTGTGTCTCAAAGTCCTCAAGAAAAAAAAAAGAAAGCTCGAGTGTTACGAATTTTGAAGACGGTCAAGTGATCAGGGGAACAGTGACGATACAATTTGAAGTGAGGTACAAAAAAGCGATATACCTACATGACTTCGGGGTGTAGCTCAAGTGCAATCAACCTCCCTCCCCTCCCATTCGTAAAGAGAAGGGCACAGAGTGAATTTACAATGCTATTCTAATTTATCTCAGAACTTGCAATAACCGTCTCACCTCTCCCATGCATACTGAGAAAGCTTCTTTAGTGTCCATAGCCAATCGTCTCAGTTCATCCTGTAATGATGCATAATAGCACTCGAATGGCATCGAAGCTTTGCTTACCAAATCCGAAATGTTTTTACTTTTTTTGAGGTTCATAGCACAAAGTGTCAAGTGTCGGCAACACGAACCTTTTCCCTTTTGAGGTCGTCTGACAGCCTTTTCAGCTTCTTCAGGTTTCCGTCGTCTTTCATGCTTCTCGCCAACTCGCCATAATTAACGTCGCCTATCGGTCGAGGACTAAAAATCAGCGCTTGGGGACAATAATTTCTGTGACCTACCAAGTTACCTGATTCTAAATCGATCCTCACTCGACGGAATGTCACTTTCATAGTCTTCGTCGTCCTCAGTCAGTTGCGATAAGCGAATATTTTTGTGTGCCTCGGTCAGTGCCACTTTCAATTTCATGTTCTCCTCACGTAATGCGCCAAAATCCAACGAGAGCACTGAAATCCCTTTGAGAATTTTCGAGCTCGGGATATACGATGTGGCCCGACCTGAAATCGCCCCTGCGTTTGCACAGCACTTTTTGCTCGGTTACGGTGAGGTGAGGTGGGTGAGCTAGCGGGAGAGGACGTGCAACAGACCGGCCATGCACTAGAGCTTGGCTCCACCCAGAAAGGGATTGTAGGAAAGGAGGCTACAATGCTGTTTTGTGGAGGTATGGGTTAGGATTTCCTTTCGGATGAGAAAATTCGTTCAGGCAATAGTGGGTTATAGTGTTTGTTTAGTCGTATAAACCTTTTTTTTTTGAATTTCAAATGCAATGCCGTGCAAGTCTAATTGTAGGTACAAATTTCTGAGCTTATGTTGAAGTTGACGGGCGCCTCAAGCGGCAGCTTCGATTCATTCATAGCTCAAGATTCTACTCGTAAATTTATCCCCACTATAGCCTATCTGAGCGAACCAATAGCATCCAAGTACGGTAGGGAGTACGGTCTGGGTCAGAGTTTTGAGTTCAACTTATGAATGAATCAAAGCTAAGCCGCTACCTTCTAAACAGTTTTCAAGGAGGAATGGCTTTTTTCTGAATGCTGGCTCCAAAAACTTATATTGCAAATAAATAAATAACAATATAAATCTACATTGGGATTAATCACTACTCAAAAGCATTTTTAATAAGCAGAGCGAGTAAGTTCGGATCGAGTCTTTTGTTTCCGAATCGCACTCGAATCGAGGGCGTTAGAAAAAATTAGCTTACATGATTTTCTACATGAATTCTTTACATGATCGTAAATTGGTAGTCCAACACGAAACAATTTTTGAAAGCAAATTAAGAATTTT